TCCCTGGGCACTATGGGACAATTTAGCACGGCCAATCCACCCTAACCTGCACATCCTTTGGACTGTGGGAGGAAACCGGAGCACTCGGAGGAAACCCACACAGACTCACGGAGAATGTGCAAACTCCACACAGACAGTCACCCGAGGGTGGGATCGAACCCGGGTCCCTGGCACTGAAACAGCAGTGCTAACCACTGAGCCACAGTGCTCAGGGAAGAATTGAATACAAAAGTAGGAGGGAGCGTACACTTTATACAGAGTACTGGTGAGACCACATGGAGAGAACTCTGTTAGAGAATTGGTCTCCTTATTTAAGGAGGGATGCGAATCTGTTGGAAACAGTCCAGAGAAGGTTTACCAGACTAATCCCTGGAGTGAGGGTGATGTCTTATCAGGATGGGTTGGACAGGCTGGGCTGGTTTCTGCTGGAGTTTAGAAGAGTTAAAGGTGACTTGATAGAACTATACAAGATCCTGAGGGGTCTTGACCGGGTGGATATGGAGAGGAAGTTTCCACTTTCAGTGCTGAAAAAGAGGGGCTCACCCCTTTAGAAACCACACAACACCGGTTATAGACAAACAGGTTTATTTGAAATCACAAGCTTTCAGAGCATATCCCCTTCCTCATTTAGTACAGAGATGGGGAGAATCTTTATCTCACAGGGGGCTGGTGACTCTTGGGAACTCTCTCCATGAGGAGGTGATGGGAGCAGATTCCGAGGATATTTTTTAAGGTGGGGGGGAAGGGGTTTGATTCATGAGTAAGAGGGTGAGAGGTTATGGAGGGTGGGGCGATCAGACCAGCCGTGGGCTTGTTGCAGGGCAGGGTAAGCAGGCTCGATGGGCTGAGTGGAATCTCAAGTTGGTGTGTGTGTTCCATTGTTTTTAAAGACGTTAGTAGCTGGAGTCTGTTCTACCTGATCTGGTAGAGCTAGTGAAACATTCTTTCAGCTGGAGAGAACACATTTTCCTTTAATTTCTGAAGAAATGATAACTTGCACAAAGAAACAGAATGGAGTTTGTTCCTGGGTCACTGTCTCAAACAGTATCGTATCCCGACATCTCTTACTGGCACTGATGGGAATTCCCTTCTCTTTCAGAAAATAATAACCACATCAAGGTGTTTCTGCCCAACAAACTGATGGACTGTTTACCAAAATGTGCAGCTTTGCCCAAAGAGAGACAGCGATGGAACACTAATGAGGTGAGCCTGTCTTCTGTATCAGAAACCAGTTTTGTGAAATCCTCAGCCCTGCCTTTCCTACCTCCCACAGCCTCTGTCAGTCTGTCCCCAAACACTCACCAAATCCTCTCTCACCCCCTCCCTCACTCCCTCTCTCTGACCACCCCTTGCCTCCCCCAACCCTCTCTATTTTCCTCCCTCCCACTCTCTCCTTTCCCCGTCCCCGCCCTCTACTCCCTCCTTTCCTCTCACCTCCTCCCGTTCTCTTCCTCCCCTCCCTCCCTCCCTCCCTTCCTCTCTGTCACTCTCTGCCTTCCTGTGTCTCTCCCACCCTACCTCGCCCTCCCTGTCTCACCTTCCCTCTCTCATCCCCCCTCCACCCACCACAGTCCCTCCCTTTCTCTTCCACCCACCATCCCTCTCTCCTAGTGTCTCTCTCTCCTGCTGTCTCCCTCTTCCACCCCCCCCCTCAGTTCCCCCCCCCTCTCTCCCTCTTTTCCCTCCCTCTCACCCTCTTTTCCCTCCCTCTCACCCTCTATCTCTCTTGCTTCTCCCTCCCCCTCCCCCGCTGAGATCAATGTGCCCCTCTAATACTGGCCACTTGCTCACCTCCAGTTTTAAGATGGTTTGAGGCATTAAACTCAACTCCCTCATAAGGAAAGGCACCAGCTCAGAGTGAACTCTAATTGTTTTTTAAACATTTAGCATTTAGAGTCATAGATCTGTACAGCACTGAAGTAGACCCTTCGGCCCAACCCGTCCATGCTGACCAGATATCCTAAATTAATCTAGTCCCATTTGCCAGCATTTGGCCCATATCCCTCTAAACCCTTCCTATTTATATACCCATCCAGATGCCTTTTAAATGTTGTAATTGTACCAGCCTCCACTTCCTCTGGCAGCGCATTCCATACACGCACCACCCTCTGTGTGAAACATTTGCCCCTTAGGTCCCTTTTAAATCTTTCCCCTCTCACCTTAAATCTGTGCCCTCTAGTTTTAGACTACCCTACCCTGGGGAAAAGACCTTGGTATTCACCCTATCCACACCCCTCATTTATTGAAGAATTGTCAGAATTTATCATTTCACTAACTTTCACTTTATCCATCCAGCCTCGTTACAAGATGCTGCCCTGTTCTTGCTATAAAAATGGTATTACATCCTTAGGGTTTTCTGCGTTTGGGGTTCTCTGACTACCACACTCAATCGGAACAGCAACATGTCAGTTTATTAACAGTTCTGTGCACCCTGCACAACTATTATATTTAAACAAACACAACGTCCCAAAATATTCCAGTCCCAATCACCAAGCCTTCAGGAAACACACAATGCCATTAGTGAGAGGGTGCTGTGTGTAATTACAGACCATTGCTTAGTTTACAAAAACTGCTCACAGCAAAAACCAGGCTTTCATGGTCATCTCAATCATTCCTATTTCTTTCAATTTTTTTTTAAACAAAGCAGGATATAGGAAATTGATAATGTTCTAATGTGCTTTGCTGCAATTCTCGAACAGACTGCCCAATTCATGTCACTGTTTGGACAAGGACCTTTCTTCAAAAAAAAAGTAGACAAAGTGTGAGATCCCAGGGACTCAGGAATGGAATACAGCCACAAAACTCCAAGCAACCATAGATGTGAACAGCAAAGGGGTAACGAGTGACCTTATAGAGGCTTATAAAATCATGAGGGGTATAGATAAGGTTAAATCCAGGTGCCTGTTCCCTTAGGGTGGGGGATTTCAAGTCAAGGGGGACATATTTCTCAGATGAGATGGGAGCGACTTTAAAAGGATATGAGGGGCAACTTTTTTACTCAGAGAGTGGGTTGTGTGTGGAATGAACTTCCTGCAGAAGTGGTGGATGCAGGAACAGTTAGGAATTTAAGGGACATTTGGATAAGAACCTGAATAGGAAATGTCTGGGGGGATATGGGCCAGGTGCAGGCAGGTGGGACTAGTTTAGTTTGGGATTATGGTCAGCATGGACTGGTTAGACTGAAGGGTCTGTTTCCATGCTGTATGTCTCTACAACAGTAATATGTTGTAAAATAGAGCCTTACAGCATGGAACAGGATCCTTTGGCCCATCATCTGTGTGCCAGTCTGTGCCCTTGAACTGACTGGAAACCTGGAATCAAGACCCATCCCCAATTACAATGGCACAATTACAAAGGCATCATTTAAAAGGGATCTTGATGGGTACATGAATAGGAAGGGCTGAGAGGGATATGGGCCAAATGCTGCCGAATGGGACTACATTAATTTAGCATATTTGGTTGGCATGGACAAGTTGGACCGAAGGGTCTGTTTCTGTGCTGTACAGCTCTACGATACTATGACAGACACAAAAGGAGAAATAAAACAATTTATTTGACACTGTCAGATTAAGTATTTGAAACGTTGTTATTACAGATATTGAAAATAAAGATTCAAGCTTTCACCCTCAATAGTAACCTATTGATGTTATCTGACGTTGAGAAGTGAAGGAAAGTGAGAACTTGTTACAGATGTACCCTGCTGGAAGTTAATTTGTGTCAACTTCAGATCAGCACAACTTGGGATCTGGTGATCAAATTTGCCCCGTCACCTGGGCATTTAAGGGGCATTTGGTTGGGCAGGAGAAGATGGGTGACTGTGTTTGTAAACTCCTTTAGGAGTGTCAGGGCACACTGTGTTTGTGCTGAATGCTAAAAGAGAACAGAAACCTACAGTGCATTATTTCCCCAGGTAGAGCTTTCAGAAGCATGGGGCAGGTCGCTGACTATGCCATGATTTGTACTTTCAGGAGATAGCGTCTTACCTGACAGCGTTTGAGAAACACGAGGAGTGGCTTTCCGGTGCTCCACGGACCAGGTGAGCTGCTTCACCAACTGAGTAACACAAGCTTCTCAGGGCACAGAGTGACTTCGATTTTAACCCACCTTTGTGGAGCTCTCTGCTGTCCTGAAGAGGAGGATATGTAATCAGTGCTTTTTATAAAGTAATATATAATATCCTCACCTTTCAATTACCTTATCAGGGCTAACAGCCCTGGACACAGTCGCAGGGTATCTGACACGCAACCGAGAGTGGGAGTCATTGGCTAGAACAGTATTTATTACCTATCCCAAATGGGACAGCCACTGGGAGTGTGTGCGTTGTTACTCGGTGCCACTGGGAGTGTGCGCGTTGTTACTCTGTGTCTCTGGGCCGTGTGCGCGTTGTTACTCTGTGTCTCTGGGCAGTGTGTGTGTTGTTACTCGGTGTCTCTGGGCAGTGTGCGCGTTGTTACTCGGTGTCTCTGGGCAGTGTGCGCGTTGTTACTCGGTGTCTCTGGGCAGTGTGTGTGTTGTTACTCGGTGTCTCTGGGCAGTGTGCGCGTTGTTACTCTGTGTCTCTGGGCAGTGTGTGCGTTGTTACTCGGTGTTACTGGGCAGTGTGTGTGTTGTTACTCTGTGTCTCTGGGCAGTGTGCGCGTTGTTACTCGGTGTTACTGGGCAGTGTGCGCGTTGTTACTCGGTGTCTCTGGGCAGTGTGTGCGTTGTTACTCGGTGTTACTGGGCAGTGTGCGCGTTGTTACTCTGTGTCTCTGGGCAGTGTGTG